AAATCTGTCATTTGAATTTTCCCTCCCTATAGGTAAGCTATCATTTTCCTTGGCTGCTTTCAAGGTTTTTTTCTTTCACTTTAGCTTCCAGATGTTTAATTTTGATGTGCCTTGGTATATATTTCTTTGGGTTTATCCTGTTTATGGTTTGCTCAGCTTCTGCAAACTATAGGTTTATGTTTCTTGACGAATTTGGGAAGTTTTCTACCATTATTTCTTTGGGTACTTTTTTAGCCCTGCCCTCTTTCTCCTCTTTCCCTGACTCTGATGAAATGTCACATCTTTTCTTATAGTCCCACATGTCCCTGAGGCTTTGCCTCTCTCTCTCTTTTTAAAATTTTCTCTCTGTTGCTCAAATCAGGTAATTTCTATAGGTCTATCTTCCACTTCACTGGTTCTTTTCTCTGTCTCCTCCATTATTCTATCGTGCCCATCCACTGAGCTTTTTATTTCGATTATTGTATTTTTCATTTGGTGCTTCTTTATATCATCTATTTCTTTGCTGGAGCTTTCTATTTTTGACATTTTTTTCCAAACATTTAAACATTTTTATCATGTATGCTTCACACTTTTTGTCAGATAATTCTAACATCTCTGTATTCTACGCGTTGGCACCTATGGATTGTCCTTTTTCGTTTAGTTTGAGATCTTTTTTGTTCTGGCTATGACGAGTGATTTTTTTTAATGAAATCTGGATAATTTCATATTATGTTATGAAACTCTGGTTCTTATTTAAACTTCTTGTTTTAGCTGACTTGTCATACACCTCTCCTTACTTGGCCTTTTCTGACACCACCCCACTGAGCTTTCGGGGCATCTCAGTACAGCCTTGCAAGGACGAAAGTCTAGAATTGCCATTTGGCCTTTCCTAGCATGGGTGGGGTTGTTCTGGTTTTTTGCGTGGTGTTTAGTTGGAGTAGAGCGGTTGTTATCTAAAAGTTTTCTATCTTGCCAGACTGCCCCTTTCCTGGTCCTTTGGCTAAGAAGAATAAGCTTTTGTTAGGGCTTTTGGTTGCTTGCACTCATTGCATTTCTGAGATGCCAGCTTCTTCAGCTCCAAATTTGAGATATATGAGGCAAAAAGAAAACCCAAAGAGCTCACCACCACATTGTTCCTCAGGCCCCCAAGAACGTAGGCAGTCTGCCTTCTCTCCACCTGTCAGAGTCTTCTTATGCTTGTTTTTATATATGATGTCCAGCATTTTTATCCTTACTTAGTAGGAGGAATAGGGAAAAGCATGTCTACTGCATCCTCCTAGAAGCAGAAGTCCCCCAAGAAGACACTTTTTAAAATGATAATCACAATATCATCAGACTTAAAAATTAAAAATACTACCCTAATATCATCAAATACCCATTTACCGTGCAACATTTCCAAGAGTATTTCTTTTATATTATTTTAACCTTTCAATCTACCTTTTTTCCCTCTTGCTTCTTTCTCTTGTAATACATTTGTTGAAGAAATCTATTTTTTTGTTCTGAAAATCGCCCATGTTCTGGATTTTGCTGATGGCATGGCTATGATGTCATCTAACATATTCCCGCGTCCCCCATGTTTCATGCAAAGTGATATTTAAATCATGAAGCTTGATCAGATTCAGGGTTGATTTTTGGTAAGTATACTTCACAAGTGGAGTTGTATATATTGTATTATATCAGCATAAAAAGGTGCCCTAGCATCTAGAAATGTATCTGGCATATAACAGGTGCTCCAAAATTATTTGATGAATTATTAAAGGCTTTTGGAAGGAGTGACGATGAAAGGCTCACTTTTTTATGCTTTTAAACACAAACTAGCCTGTAATCATGTATTATTTGTAACTAAAAATATATGTATTTCTCACTTTAAGGATGTTTCTACATTCTGCATTTCCATTTGAAGTTCCCACACTTCAGGGGAAAAACTTGCTAAGAGCCATTTCTAAAATGTGGTAGCAAGTCAAGGTTATTCACCAAAAAACTGTTAGAACAAACGAATTCAGTAAAGTTGCAGGATACGAAAACGTGTTGCATTTCTATACACTAATAACGAACTATCAGAAAGAGAAATTAAGAAAATGATCACATTTATAATTGCATCAAAAAGAATAAAATACCTAGGAATAAATTTAACCAAGGAGGTGAAAGACCTGTGTACACTGGAAACTGTAAGACACTGATGAAAGAAATTGAAGAAGATACAAATAAATGGAAAGATATTCCATGCTCATGGATTGGAAGAATTAATATTGCTAAATTGTCCATACTACCCAAAGCAAACTACAGAGTCAATGCAGCTCCTGTCAAAATTCCAGTGGCATTTTTCACAGAAATAGAACAAATAAACCTAAAATTTGTATGGAACCACAAAAGATTCTGAATAGTCAAAGCAATCTTGAGAAAGAAGAATAAAGCTGGAGGTATCATGCTCCTTGATTTCAAACTATATTACAAAGCTATAGTAATCAAAACAGTATGGTACTGACATAAAAACAGAAACATAGATCAATGGAACAGAATAGAGAGCCCAGAAATAAACCCACATATATATAAACAATTAATTTATGACAAAGGAGCCAAGAATAATCAATGGGGAAAGGACAATCACTTCAATAAACAGTGTTGGGAAAATTGGACAGCTACATGCAAAAGAATGAAACTAGACTACTATATTACACCATATACAAAAATTAACTCCAAAATGGATTAAAGACTTGAATTTAAGAACCTGAAACCATAAAACTTCTAGAAGAAAATATAGGCAGTAAAGTCCTTGACATAGCTCCTGGCAACGATGTTTTTTTGTTCTGACATCAAAAGCAAAAACAAAGTGGGAGTACATCAAACTAAAAAGCTTCTGCACAGTAAAGGAAACCATTAACAAAATGAAAAGGCAACATACTAAATGGAAGGAAATATTTGCATATCACATACCTGATAAGAGGTTAATATCCAAAATATGAATATATAAAAATATATAAAGAATATATATAATGTAGTATATATTTTATATTAAATATTATATTATATATGACAGTAATATAATTATATATTATGTGTATTTTGTATACTGTATGTTTTATATATGTAAAATACAAAGGACTCATATAACTCAAAGCACACTAGAAGATTATTCAGCCATTAAAAAAGGAATGAAATTTTGCCATTTGTGACAACATGAATTGACCATGAGGGCATCATGCTAAGTGAAATACATCAGACAGAGAAATGCAAATATTGTATGATCTCACTTATAAGTTGAACTAAAAAGGAAAAAAATCCAGCTCATACATACACAGAATAGACTGGTGTTGCCAAGGGTGGGAAGAGATGGGGTTGTGAAATAGGTGGGTGGGAGGTAAAAAAGGTGAAGGGAGGGGTCAAAAGGTACTAGCCTCCAGTTGTAAATAAATAAAGTCATGAGGAGGTAATGTGCAGCATGGTGACTAGTTAATAATACTGTATTGCATATTTGAAAGTTGCTAAGAGAGTAGATCTTCAAAGTTCTCATCAAAAAAAGAAAATTGTAACTATGTGTAGCAACAGATATTAACTAGACTTATTGCCGTGATCCTTTTGCAACATATACAAATACTGAATCATTATGTTGTACTCCTGAAACTAACATAATGTTATATGTCAATGACACCTCAATTTTTTTAAAAAGATTGTTCACAGGACCCAGCTGTTGGTGGAGAGCAGGGACTAAATCAATACTAAATCAAACAAAAAATACACCACTTCGCCTCCTTAAAACAATTCAGGGAGTGTGGTGAGTGGCAGGCGGTGAGTATTGTCCAGCTTTTGATTTCTTCCACATTGTTTTAAATTTGATTTTACTAACATAAAAGGGCATGTGTAATGGACAAAGAGAACAAATTAGTGGTTACCAGAGGGGAAGGGGGTTGGGCGGTGGGGATAAGGGGTAAAGGGGGCACATTTATATGGTGACTGACAATAACAATGTACAACTGAAATTTCACAATGTTATAAACTATTATGACTTTAATAAAACAGAAAGGAACAATGTTGAAAGACCAAAAAGAAAAGAAAAAGGCATGTGTACGTATATGACTTTCGTCTAGGTCTCTAAATCAGCCTTGTATAGGGCTGTAGGCTAGTGAGAACAATCACAACTATTTGCCATTTGAAGCAAAATAAACTATGCATTTAATATACCTCTAGTCCTCCCATACCCGCATTTTTCAAATGGGAAACAGTTTGATAAAGATTAAGTGACTTGCCCAAAGATATTTAGTAAACCACAGTTGGTTTTTATAACCTAAATTTGGCTCCAAAAACCAGTGCTAAATCAGTGCTTTCCACCAGGGTGGTTCTAATTCGTAGTTTTCACCTGCATGCAGCAAAATTACATTTATGATGTACTGAATTATTTTATAATGTGATATGCAAATTAAGGGTCCATCCTTATTCTGAGATTGTGCCTCTCTTACTCTTTTGGTATTAAATAAAGTCGCCTTTCTTTTGAAAAACGATATGAGCTAGTAAAGGTTTTCTTTTTCCCCTGTCAAAATAAGCAGGAAAAAGCTGACAGTCTTTCAGAAAGTCTTTTGAAATATTGTCTGATGGATGAATTTCAAAAGCCAGGACCCAACACTGCACAAACACGAGTGTCTGCGGGGGGAGGGGGAGGAGCGGGGCGGGAGTGGGGGGCCCGGGTTAGAAGGGACCGAGTCTGGGCGGCACCGACCGGCCGCGGGAGCCAAGCCGCGCCGCCCCGCGCGCCCCGCCCGGCAGGGAAGAGGCCGCCGGGAGAGCCAGGCCGCCAGTACACAGGGACCGTCACCGGCCACACCGGCGTCCTCGGCCTCGGGGCTCCGGGACTCAGCCGACTCAGCACGGGGCCGTACGGCACCATCAACCGGGTGTACACTCCCAGAATGAGCTCGGGGACAAGCCCCACGCTGCGCGGGCGCCCGGGGACTGCCCGGACTTGGCGGAAAACGCGGAAGCGCGGCGGGAGTTAGACCGCCAGGAGGCGCTGTGCACGGCTGGGCAATCAGAATTCTCGCGATAGGTGAGACGAGGCTTCCCGGAAGTGATTCTCCGGAAGAAGCATGGCTGTTCCCGGAACCTGGCTCGGAGCTGCACGCTGAAGCGCCGACAGCATGCAGTCTGATGATGTGAGTCTCTTCCTTTTGCTGTGCCACCCGGGGTTTACGCAGAGTGTCTCGCCCACTTAGGCGACTCAGGAGCCACATACTCAGCTGGTCATTTGCCTCGTGTCGCTCCGGAAGCGAGGCTTCCAGAACCCCGAGCGTGGGGCTCTCACGTGTCTCCCCGGGCCCTCCAGCCCGCTGCCCGAGCGGGGCTCAGGGGCCAGCCCACCGCCACCTCCGTGACAGGGTCGGCGTGTCCAGTCCTTCGTGCCTGGCAGTGAGGGACTTTGAATGTGGACTTGGGGACTCGGGAGGCGGGGGTGGGGGCGGTACGGCGAGGTTTAGACCTCAAATTAAGGATCCTTTTCATCCATTTGCACGTTACTTTTCTATCTGCTTTTTCTGTTAGATTTTTCTTTACGTTTGCTCTGCTGTCTGCCCCAGTCAAAATTTCAGAAGCATCTTAGATTCCTTCACTAAGTTATTTGTTGGAGAAATATTTAAGTGCTTGCAGTGTGCATCGTGGTAATTACTGGAGATTAGGTTGTTAATAAGCCGGACCAAAGACCTCTGCTTTCCTGGAGCGCTCTCGTGGGGATGTCTCCTTGTTTACAGTTAGTAAACAAGTGAACAGATAAAAACAATGGCACTTTGTAATAATACTGTAAAGGAAAGACCAGGGGTGATGACAGAGAGTAATTGGGAGACACCCCTTCAGATGGGGCTGATCAGGGAAGGCTTCTCCGAATAGAAGTTATTTGAGCTGACCTAGATGATGAGAACGAATCAGCCACTGAGGGGCTGAGGGAAAAGCAGTCAATCCTGTCAGGAAGAGTAAAGTACAAAGATCTGGAGGTAAGAGAGGAGGGAATATGATAGAAGACACCAGTGTGGCTGTGCTAGAGGAATCAAGGGAAGAGAGAGAGGTAATGAAGTTGGATGTGCTTGCCAGGGCAAGGTCATGTAGACTACGGGAAGCGTTTTTAGGGCTTTTAATGGGAAATGACATCTGATTTATGTTTGTGAAAAGTTCTATAGTTGTGTGAGAGGCTTCTGAAGGAGAGAAAGGATGAAAGCAAGGAGACTAGAGGATGATGAAAGTAGCTTCAGCTAAGGTGTAATGGTGGAGATGAAAAGCAGTGGATGGTTAGTGGTCTGTTTTATCAGGATCACCAGCAAGACGTGGTGACGGATTAAGTGAAGATGAAAAAGGAGAAATCAAAGGATTTTGGGTTTGAACAAATAGTCCAAAGGTGGTTTCATTAATTGAGACGGGAATACTGGGGGAGGAACACGGTATTCTTTGGAGAGGTGTGAAGTTGAGGACTCCGTTTGGACGTGTTAGTGTGCATGGTGCCTTTTAGACATCCAAGTGGAGATGTCAAGTAGGCCTCTAGGTGTGTATACACGAGTCTAGTGCTCGGGAGATGACAGTTTGGGAGTCATCAACGTAGAGATGAGATTTAAAGCTGCAAGCCAGAATGAGCTCCTGCTTTTCCCGTTTCATTTCCTCTTAGCTATTTCCTACCATCCTCCACCCCACTCCCCCCCCAACACATATCTTACAAAATTCCCAAAATGCTGCCCCATTTTTCACACTTCTGTGTATTTTTCCCTTTAACTGCTTGAAAGCCTCTCCTGGTTCCTCGAAGCAGCTGTCTCAAAGGCTCTCGGACTCTTACATGCCTCTGTTGTGGCACTTAGACTGCTGCTTTGCGATGCTTTGCTTATGTATTTTTCTCCTTAACCAGACAGATAAAACTCTTTAAGGACTATACCTTCCTTCATTCAACAAATACTTGGGTGCCTCTTGTGTGTCAGGACTTAGGGATGTCAGTGCCTTACATAAATTAAGTTAGAATAAGTGCTAAATGAATAGAGCATATTGGTTAGTGGAGGATAGCAATAGTTGATTTTCCTTGCCCTTAATGAGATAAAATTATGGTATGTATATCCAAAAATCTAGTACTGCGTGTAGCCTTCAACAATGGATAATGAAAATAGTAAGTAAAAAAGGAAAGTTAGAAAATGTATATAATATGATCTCATTTTTGCTAAAAATATTCACAGGCATACTGGTGGAACGTACCTACGTATCGAAAAATATTTACAAAACACTAATGAAATTTTATCTTTGGGTAATGGGGGTTATGGTTATTGCTAATTTGTATTTACTTTTTCTACAAGAATCTGTTATTTGTAAAGAAAGGAAAACATGTCATACTGTTTACAAAACGTTTCTTCCTTGTCTCATTCCTCAAAGACTCCTTCCTTCAGTAAAGCAGGGCACTGCCCTAGGGCATTATTTTCTTGGATTAATATGCCAGTTTGCGTCAGAGCAATTGAAGTGTGTTTTTCCTTTGTCTTGCAGGTTATCTGGGATACACTAGGAAACAAGCAATTTTGTTCCTTCAAAATAAGGCGAGTCTAAATATGCATCTTGGACAAAGAGTTCTTCAGTTGCCCTCTTGGTAACCCATCTTAGAATTTTTGCTTTTTTCCTCCCATTCTAGAACCAAGACTCAGGGCTTTTGCAGAAATGAATACAGCCTGACTGGACTGTGTAATCGGTCATCCTGTCCCCTGGCAAACAGTCAGTATGCTACTGTCAAAGAAGAGAAAGGTGACTCCCCAGTTTTAACTTGCATGGGAACTACTCAACAGCTTTTAAAAGGATATTCTTTGGTCTCTCTGTAAATAATAATAAAGGTATTTACTTCATCCTCCAGGACAGTGCTACTTGTATATGAAGGTTATAGAACGAGCAGCTTTTCCTAGGCGTCTCTGGGAACGGGTAAGACTTGGGACATACAACTACATGTCCATACAATGGTTATATTGATCAGGAGCACAAATGCCACATGCTCGTCTCTCCTCCTTGACCACACGTAGATTGAACTGTGGAAGCCATCCTCATAAGGCCCCATAGGTGTCGTTAACAGTGAAGACCTGATCATTTACCCTCGCCCTTCAAGCTTCCTTTTTCCATTTGATAGGTCCGGCTTCATAAAAACTATGAGAAAGCACTGGAGCAAATAGATGAAAATCTGATTTATTGGCCTCGTTTCATTCGACACAAATGTAAGCAAAGATTCACCAAGATCACCCAGTACCTAATTCGAATTCGAAAACTTACACTAAAGCGACAGTAAGTATTTGGATCATTCATTTATTTCTAAATCTATCTTTCTATGGATCATGTTATGAAGCTGAGAGATTGTGAAACCTCTAGTAATGCTTTCTGTTAAATTCAATTTTGGATAATCTTTCATGACATGCTAAGAAGAAACTTTTTTGATTAAAGTCGTGCCCTTTGATTTTCCAGGATTTTTAAAACAGTTTAGTACAACTTGATTTTCCCTCCCTGTCTGAAAATCAGCTTCAGAAAATTTCATTTATAACCCCCTGAAGGAATCTTAAAATTAGGGATCTGAAAATGACCTATAAAATGTGAATAAACAGGAATGTAAGAACTTTACTCTAGGTTCATTGAAAGCTAATTTTTAAAAATGGTAAGAAATCCACAGAATTAATTAAATACCTTCTTGAGGAGCATTAGGCTCTAATATTTTCCATTGTGACCTGCATAGAATGCTAAAGATGTCAGTCTTCTACAGAAAATTCCTTTTTCGTAGTTCACTGAAGCATTCCTCTTAGCATAATGGATGCCCTCGCAAGTCTCAGGATGACCAAAGAAAATGAAACCAGCCACGTTAAAATATATGTAAGAATGTCTGACTGCTTATAGCATTAAATTTCTAGAAAATTTTAACTATATAATCTTGCTGTATTGAGCCCTACGAAATCGATTACAATCCTTTCTTCGTCTAGTTTTTTTTAAAGGAATACAAAGCACATGTACTTGGATTCTCTGATGATGTGTTTTATTTCCCATAGGAGGAAACTCGTTCCTTTGAGTAAAAAGGTGGAGCGGAGGGAAAAAAGAAGAGAGGTAACTTACTCTGATATTTATAGCGTCTCTGTTTTCATTGAGGGTAAAGCTGGTAGGCAGGGCCAATGAGAAAGACTCAGTCACCATTGTCTATGAACTGCTCTGGCTCTGGGTAGCGGTTAACTAATGGATAAGATATCTGATTTTCCATATCTTAAGATTATGACTTTCGGGGCAGGTTAAAATACGGGTGTTTTAGGGATATATGTAATAGAGAGCAGAAAGAATACCTTAAATAGAGATCCACAGCTCCTTGTCTGAAATTCTGGAGGTCAGATGTTTCAGAATTCAGATTTAATGTGTTGCCTATGTTACATATTATGTATTACCCTCAGCAGAGTCTGAGCATTCTAATCAAACACGCTAGTAGTTCCTCAGTGAAATACAAGAATGTTCACACTAGATGGAATTTTTAAAAACTGTTTTTAAGTAGCCTCATGTCAATTCAGGTCATACTCGCCACTAAACTGAGTTTTTTGGATTTTGAAGTAGCTGGTAAGGAATCGATCAGGATCATTTGTTTCTTTAAGTAAACTGGGTGGTGGTGTTACTAAAGTAATGAGTAGTGTGCTAATATTGTGCTATCCCTGGAAAATCTTGTGAGGAAACTCCAGCCCTTGTCTCAGAAAGCAAGCCTGCCTCTCTGCCTCACTGGGACCTCACTTAACCTGAACTTTCTTATGCTTTTCAAGACCCAGGAATTAGCTCTTCCTGACAAGTTCAGATTTTCAGTCATAGATTCTAGGGATTTGCTTTGCTTACCTCCCTTCCACCAACAGACATCTGCGTGACCATTTGTCATATCCTATCAAGAAGTGACCTTAATAATCTTGATGCTTTTGTTCCCATTAATCACATAGATTTCTGTATTGTAAATCTGTTATATCATTGGTCTTGAAACTTTTTTGATACTCCACAATCAATAAAATTTTTAGACATATTCCCCAATATATTATTTATAAATGTTATTATACATGTCTACTTGCACTAATAGGTATACTATAAATAATAGTTTGTGATGTGAAATGAACATTTTGTTTTTGCCGAGTATAAATTTCTCTTTAAGGGCCATGATAAGTGACAGATGTCTGAGATACATAGAGCAGTGCGCTCTGGAGTGCTTGCATTAAGCGCTTGCTTTTCATTTTTCCTTCTCCACCACCTGTTACACAGATGTTTTTGTTCAAATCTGCCTAGTGAGTTTTCATCTTCCTTGACTGTCAAGCTGCTGTTCTTCCAAACCTTTCAGAAGAAATTAAATTTTTTATTTTTACCAAATAAGTTTGAAGCCCTCTGAAAAATGTAGATTTGTGCCACGGTTAAGTTTGCATGTTCTGCTTTGGTCCAGGGTTTGCTGGTTCAGATCCCAGGTGCAGACCTACGCACCACTTGTCAAGCCATGCTGTGGCAGGCATCCCACATATAAAGTAGAGGAAGATGGGCACAGATGTTAGCACAGGGCCAGTCTTCCTCAGCAAAAAGAGGAGGATTGGCAGCAGATGTTAGTTCAGGGCTAATCTTCCTCAAAAAAAAGAAAGTAGATTTGGAAGATTTTTAAATGGGTTGGAAAATTCTATTTCCAAATTGTTTAAGTATGTGATTGCAGTTTTTACAAGAGACACATGTTTTCAGCAATGTCACATATAGATGTAATCACTTGCTCTTAAAATGTTCTATCCATAGAACAGGTCTTTTTTTTTTTTCTTCAAAAAAACAATTTCTTTCAGCCTATTAAAATATTGTCTCTCTCTTGAAAGAACAGAGTGTTTATTTTTTAAAACTTCTGCTATATTACATACCACTGACATCGATTTGTCATCTTAGAAGAGGGTGGCAAATATGGAACATTTTTTCGTGAAAAATGGATGGTTCTTTAAGTTCACAGCTGTTTTTAATTACTAAACCATTAAATAACCAGCACACCTTTGTAACTACTCCCTATCTTATTACAAACTATTTAGTATCATCTCTAAATCCACATAAACAAGGAAACAAATAGCTACATGTTGTAATATTCTGAATAAAGGAGTGAGATCACCACTGTCAAACTTGGTGCACTATTTCTCCCTCGGGATATCTTGGTCACTGTATCTGACACACAACTATTGGCTTTATGGACAGAGTCAAGGCACCAATGTCAGTAGGCATAAAAAATATTTGTAACACTTAATTTCTAAAGGAAAAAGTAGTTTTGAGTATTTTCTTGCTAAATCTCAGTGGATGACCGTTGAGGGTAAGCACCCACTGTAGAGAATAAGGAACATCGCAGTAGCCTTTTAACTGATCTGTGTGCCCCATCTCCCTGCACTGCGACTTAGCCCACACACTGTTCATCATTCTCACGTAGCTTCAACATGTAGCACTGTAAAAATCCTCTAGGATTTTCACTATCAAATTGCTGCACAATCTTAGGCTAGAAAGGTATAGATTTTTATGTTTTGGTTGTGGGTGGTACAGGTTGATGCCATGTGTCATCTCCCATGAGAGATCATTGAAGGAAGAGATTTTTCCTCTTTCTATCACATGGAATCTAATGGTTTTAGAAAATATAAATGAGTAAAAGTCTCTGCTCCCTTTTCTCAGCTTTTACAAAGTCTGCTTCAGGATTGCTACTTTTCTGAGACACTTAAATGTATATAGGCCTACCTGCTTTGTATGTTGATCAAAGGCTTTGTTAGAAGTTAATTTAGAATGCTGTTTATAAAACCATAGGGATCTTTAAAATTCAAAGCTTCACAACAAAGTTTGAGGGGGGGAAAAGAAGAAATATATCTGGTTGGAGAGGCAGAAGCCCAAGAGCAGGAGGGAAAAGGTGATTATATTTTCTTTCTTATCAAAACTTGGTTTCTTCCACTTAAACAGGCCAAAACATGAGTCCTAATGAAGTAAATGGGTTTGCTCTTTTTTGTCTTGTAGGAAAAGGCATTAATCGCTGCTCAGCTGGACAATGCCATTGAGAAGGAATTGCTGGAGAGGCTGAAACAAGATACGGTGAGAAAGTTAGGAGCCTTAGGGTACAAATTTTATTTTTTAGGTGGTAGTATCATGCTAAGAAATGTGGAATAGTGGGAAATGTGTTTTATTCTTAAAGATCTTCACCTTGATTTTATTTCTGGAATAAAATAACTATCATATAGGCCCTGGCTTCCTCACATTGCTTCACTGGCGCAAGTACCTGACTTGCCTTGGCTGCCCTGTTACTCCATTCAGTATAGGAGACCTTGCCCTTTTGCCCTTATTCCCAACTCCTGTCCCCAAATGCAGCAATTCCAGATGTCTGTATAAAAGCCATACAGTTTTGATCCTCCTATTATCCTAGTCTTTTAAGTTTCTTTAAAGTAAGTTTTATTCTAAGAATGTGTCCTTTACAGAGAAAACATGAATAAAGTTTACTTTTTCCTTATTGTTTCCTCTTGGTCAGCAAAATTATATTTGTTCCAATCCACGGGTTTTATAGACTGCTAAATTTTAAGTGATCTGTTTCTATCCTTCATAGAAGTTACCTGTTTGGTGTTAACCAGTAACAACTAAATGTCAAAATGGGCTTTTTAAGACATTGCCAGCTCTAGGCTTGAAAACAATATAGAAATATTACTCAATTTAACTATTCTCATTTAATCACTGAGATAAAAGTAATATGCTTGTCAGACAGTGGACTTTAAGTGTATGATCCAAATGTAGTTAAAGCCAGTCTCTGTTTACATTCTTCAGTATGGCGACATCTACAACTTCCCCATTCATGCCTTTGACAAGGCCCTGGAGCAGCAGGAGGCAGGGAGTGACTCTTCGGATGCTGAGGAAAAAGATGATGAAGATGATGATGAAGTAAGCCTTGTTTGTGTTTTGCTTTGTCAAGCAGTAATCTATAAGACTAGATCTATTTTTATGTAATTGAGACAGAATATCATTTTCTGTCCCCTAACCAAAAATAATTAATTGGTCATTTTTTCCTATCATGAGATTAATTTTGGTTCAGTAGTGGCTGCTTTGTTCTCCACGTTCAGCCAACAAACTCTGCATTGACAATTTTAATCTTATTTATTGGCATTCTAAAATTTTTCCTGCAAGATGACAAATGAAGACTCCTCATTGGCTGATGGAATATACTGTAAGGAACCTACTGAAATTTACAAAGAGTTTAATCTTACTATTAATATAGGAGAAGTACCTGAGTGATAGTATTTTTAGGAAAAGGGCAGATTTAGTAAGTAGGTACTTAATCAACGTGGTACACTCACATAGGTGCATAGGTGTAGTTGTCCTATTAGTAAACTATTTTCGATTTTTAAAATTATAGTTTTAGTTGAATTTACAGAGAACTGTTTATAAATCCCTTCCTGTATACTGATTTTAACCAATTAAAATGAAGATGTCTCACCTGCAATGATTTAAATCAGGCATGAGAACTGATATCCCTACAGTGTTTTTAATTCAACAGTATTAAACTTGGAAATAAGTAGATTCTAGTTGCCTTGTAAGTAGACTCTGATTCTGTTTGTGTTACTTATGCACTTATTTATCAAAGAATAGAACCCTATGTCTAAGCTGAATTCATTAGGTGTTTTGAACCTAACAATATGTTTTATTTTAGGAGGTGGGAAAGAGAGAGTTTGTGGAAGATGATGAGGTTGATGAGAGTGACATAAGTGATTTTGAGGTGAGATTTATGGGTAAAAAATTGTCCTTTGGCCTTCAGCAAAAAAACTAAAACACCCCAAAATAATGAGGGTTTCTGAACACACAGAGGCAGATAAATTCTCTAGTTTGTTCTAAATTGAGAGGATAATGAAGTTTGGGGGATGAATCTAGCATCTTCTCCTGTTTTATTTTTTCCCTCCCCACATTAGGATATGGATAAACTGGATGCCAGCAGTGATGAAGATCAGGATGATAAATCCTCCAGTGAGGAAGAAGAAAAGGCCCTTGATGCCAAACACAAAGGCAAAACGCCTTTGAAAGGACCTTTGCGGAGAAAACGAGCATACGTAGAGATAGAGTATGAACAGGAGACAGAGCCTGTGGACAAGGCCAAAACCACGTGATTTCCTGTCAGACATTTATAAACAGGACTGAACATTTTGAACTTCTTCCTTTCTTTTATCTTAAGCACATACACACCTCCAGATTTTGCTCTTTATGTTGTATTTAACACAGTATTTGTGTTTTTAATATTTATGCCACTTCTGGCAAGAAATCTGAAAGAGTGGAGGAAAGCCTTAAATTGTGAACACAGTATTTTTATAGCATTGGCATATGTGTTGAAGTAACAGCTTGAACCCAAGAAGCTTAACAGATGAGTTTGTGGGTGTAAATATTTTTAAATTCTAAATGCTACCCACTCCCCCTCTTTCCTTGCTGTCTTCCCCCCGAACTTTATTTAGAAATGTCTGGATTTCAATTTTTTCTTGTTCTCCTTTCCCTACTTCTTTGAGAGTAAAAGGAAAAAAGGACACAGATCTAAATTATACTGTTTGTATAAAAATACCTTTTTCCTTAAATAATCACATTTATACAACTGGAATAGAAAGAAAATCCTTTCCTCTTCAGGAAATTCGTACAAATGTTAAGTTCCATCGCCGGGAGCGCCTTCTGAAGCCTGCTGCACTTTTCTGAGACAGGTCACCACCTTACTGTCCTCACAGCTTTGGAGAATTTTGGCCAGGAGACCCTGAAACATGAAACCAAGCAGGGTTTGATTGTTGTTTTGCTACTTCCTTCCCTTTTACCTTGGTTCTTCTTTCTTGGTACCATACTCAAAAGAAGGACAGAATACATGACACTAGGGGACAGCTCACAGAACAGCTGTAACTTTAAAAACTGCTGGCATGCTTGGAAATGTCCTGCTGGTTCATGAAGCAGCAGCTCAATACCAGCCAAAGTGGATGAGAGAGGATTTAGGGCCTGAAAACTGCCTGAGATTCAAGAGCCAAGATGAAATAATTTGAATAAACTAATAACACAACAAACTATATTATCTCAAAATATTTTGAAGATACGAATTTCTTTTCATGCTGCTTTATAACTTTCAATTGAAGATTTCTCAGTGGGATAAGAAATGTGGCAATAGTTTATTAAGTATATATAAATACACACATAGCTATTATATGCGATGGCTTTGAGAAGTTAACTTTTGTGGCATATGAGACCAAAGGAAGAATTCTCATATGAACAAAAAAAATATGGGAAAACATAGTTGCCCCTGAAAAACAGGAAACATTTCTGGTATCTGAGCTAATCTATTTATATTGTTACTCCTTGGTGGCTTATAGCCCATTATTTCATCTTTTTATTATTATTATTATTCAGACAACTAGAACAGAACTTAAATTTTATAAACTCTTGATCATGATCCTTTTGCCCATTCTCTGTCCTCTCCCCAGAGACATCTGCTGATCCTCTTGCCCTTTGGTCTAAATGGTTCTGAATAGCCTTAAAGGAAGAATAGGTATTGATCGAACTTCTGAACGGTAGAGGGCTCAGGGGTGGAGACCTGAACCCTCCATGTTCATTTACAGACTTGGTCAGGCACATAAAGAGTAAATTATAATCAATCGTAAGAATCACCTAAGGATAATGAGACCTAACGAGAATGGAGCTGCAGACTGTCCCTTACCTTCACCCGCCCTTGAGAGCAGTGGTCCAGGAGAATCAGGCAGTCTGTGGCCTCCTCTAACAAGGCGCTCTTAATAGGCTCAGGTGTGAGACTTGGATCCCTTGCTACATCACATAGCAGTTTCAAGAGAGCCTTCAATAAGACCACAAGTCTACAGGAAACTCTGGAATCAAAAAGAAAAACTATTCAAACTCTAAATCAGGATATTAAGTCTAAAAGAGACTTCAAAGGCCATCTAGTATAAAAGTCCTCATTTCATAAATGAAGGAACTGAAGACCACAGAGCTGAAAGCAGAACTAGAGACCAGACTCCAGATTTCTTAGTTTCAAGCCCTCTATGTTTTTCTACAAGATTACCCACATACAGAACCACTGGCCTGTCAAGGAATACAGTGCTTCCCTCCAGAAGCTTGGTTCTACTGGAAGGAAACAGTCTCCCCTGGAAAGGGAGAACTGGGACTTTCCCTTACCAGGGGCCTGCCTGTACTTTCAGCCAAAGAACAGGAGATGGCCCATAGTCCTTCAACTTTTATGCAGTCTCAGGCCTGGAAGTTAAAAATAGAGTGAGGGAAATAACCGTGGCTTCTGGGACTTAACTGTCAATTTGAATTTTCTGTCATTTTAATTCCAGATCCTAGATTACCATCAGTTAAGCCCAGCCTGTTCTACTTAGTCTTTCTAAAAGTTTCTATATGGATGAAAAAGTTCTGGAAATGGACTTTTTCAGAATCAAAATAGGGGTGATTGTTGCACAAAATTGTGAATGTATTTAATGCCACAGAACTGTATACTTTAAAATGGTAAATTTTGTATTTTTTTAATCACAATAAAAAACAAAGCCTTAATAGAAGATGAAAAATAACTTGTAATGTGAAAATATACATAATAAACCACATTTCTGGACAGAAATGTGACTGGGAAAAGTTGGCGTCCTTTATCTTGATCTAAAAGATACCAAGCAGCATTCTATAATTTGTGTGCCACTAAGCCCTCCACCTGTCATCATTCAACATACAATCCACTGTTTCCCACTCCCTAGGCCCCGCCCCCTCCATAGATGACATCCATCTTCTAACCTCCCTACATTTGCTCACTGATCTGTACTTGGAATCTTCGTCTCTGCTCTTAAAGGACTGACAGTATTAATCAGAATCAATTTCATTCATCCATCTATTCGTTCTAATCCAGTCTATTCATTTCTCAAATATTTGTGTACTTAATACCAGGTACTGAGTAAACTTGAGTATTCTCAGTATACCAATGTGGTCTTCCATCCTCCTGGAGCATATGGTTCAGTAGGGGAGAAAGACAGTAACTAACTAAATGCAACCTAGTTACAAATGTGACTGTCAGGTACATTATAAGGAAATGAGAGAATACAGTTAAGAACAGATATGTAGATCTTCCTCAACTTAGAATGGAGTTACAGCTTGATAAATCCATTGAACTGAAAATATCAAGTTGAAAATGCATTTAATACACCTAGCCTACCTTGGATGATCTCAGAATGTTTACATTAGCCTACGGTTGGGCAAAATAATCTACCACAAAGCCTATTTATAAAAAGTGTTGAATACCATGTAATTTATTGACTACTGTACTGACAGTGAAAAACAGAATGGTGGTGTGGGTACAGCATGCTTCCAAGTGTATGGGTTGTTCACCCTTGTGATCATGGGGCTGACTAAGGGCTGCAGCTCACTGCCCAGCCTCACGAGATAGGATCCTATTGCACAGCACTAGCCCGGGAAAAGATCAAACTTCAAAATTCGAAATACAGTTTCTAGTGAATGTGCACAGCTTTTGCACCACTGCAAAGTCAAAAAATCATTAAGTCAAACCATAGTAAGTCGGGGACTATTTGTGTACGTATGTTGTTGAGGCACTGGACTCTCCAGCTGAATTAGACTTCGTTATTTCATGCAAGAAAGCCTTTTGCTGACTCAATACGTTTGGGTTCCAGTTTACTGATCCTGACACCTACCTCAAGCCAGAGCTGACATGCTTTCTAAGCAATCATACCCTAAATTAGTACTCTCCTAATCAGTGCTTTGCAGATGTTCAATAATGTGCTATAAAGTATTCCATTCTCAATCAGATTGAAGAAACACTGGGATGAACGAAGTTAAGCAAGTCTATGGTAACTCTCCTAAATGTCCTTTAAAATGCTAATATGTATTACAAATCTAGAGCGATATACACCTGAAGTAACTACAGGTATATTTTATCATTTAAATGCCACTTTCTATTCAAAATCCAACAGGTGTGTAAAAATAGGAGGTATTCAAATATATGGCATGTCCTTAATACTTTGTACTGAAAGTATATCTGGGCAAGTTCTGAAGAGAAAATTGGCTGAGTTTTGCCCCTCTTAGCACAACTCTCTGCTTGGTTGGTATACCTGGGCCATGTATACTGCATGAGAAGTTTTAGGGTTTCCAGTATCTTCAATCTAGCCTCCTCCTCTGGTCCATCATAAACCTCCAGATAACCAATGATGACTCGTTGCAGCCTCTTCAAGTGCCGGACAGTTAGGATCCCCAACCTAGAAACAACAGAGAAAATGTAATCCCACAGAGATGAAGTTGAGGAGTACAGCCAGACCAGCAGCCCAGGGACTCGCCTCTTCACAAAGGCTGGTAGGTTTCTCGCGTAGGTCCTGCGTAAGAGGAGGCGGTGCTCTGGCTCCATGTGGGTCAGGATCAGCTGCAGTACCTCATCACAGTGTGTGGTGGGTCGAGCTGCATCTCCCTTCCAGTGGAGGCCTTTCTCCAGGACAGGGAATAAATCCAACAGACACAGGAGCACAGCCTAGGAGGAAGTAATGGCAGGGAACTGTAGTCATCGATTTGTATTCACAACACTTACTGATTTTTCCAGTAACTTCATTAATCTACTCTCCTTGGGGTCCATGTCATAGAATTCTAAAAGATACTCACAATAATGACTGTATATTACTTTATATTTTCAATTTTCTTTTTACATTCTTTATCTCCATCTGACAGTCTCAAGTAAGTTAATACCTTCTCCTCCAGACTGTTCTTTGCTAATCTTTAAAATGGGAAGAATGGCAGAGCTGAAACTTTAACTCAAATTTTAGGAGTCTAAGAATTACTAAATCTAAGTGATATTTACATGTACTTACAATAAAACTGCTCCCAAATAGTCTAAGAGGGTCCTAATTTGTATCCAATTTGACCATCCTATCTGAAGCTTCAGAGTGTAGGTGATCCCCGTTAGCTCTCCTGAGATCTTTGGGTTTTCTCTTAGTTTTTTTTTTTTTAAATTACCATCTCAAGAGCCCTAACCCTTTGGCTCTTAGTACCTGGATACTCAAACCTAAAATATTATTTAAAAAAGGAAGGTGGCAGGGTGAGGTGTGGGAGAGGCAGGCATAAAATAAGAATCAAGGTTATTTCTACCTCTAATTTTATATAACTTGTTTCTTCTGTCTTCAGAATGTTCTTTCCCCTCCTAAGAAACTCCTTTTCATCCTTCATAAGCAAATATCACCTCCTTCCCGAATCCTCCACCCCAACACCAAAGCTGGTTACATGCCTACTGCTGGACACCCACCGCACTGACACAACCCTCTTTCTACAGACCTATCACTCCCTACTGTATTTACATATACAGTACATATATTTACATAAATGTCTCTCCAAGGGGTTTCTTAAAGGCAGAAACCTTGTCTGATTCATTCACTCTCGGAACCTACAATGGTTACTGGCACACAGTAGGTACTCAATGTCTACTGGATGAAAGAATACATGACACTAAAATATCCAACACACAAGGAGTTTTAAGTGTGTTTTTCAATATAAAGCAGCCCAGAAAGAAGGACACTTAAATAAATAAAAATAGAACTTTTCCAGACATAAAGCTGCCCCTGAGTGATACGTAACTGACCCAGATGAGGACAAAACACTGGCTTTTCTGTAGAGACTCAAGAATGTGGATGCCTGCTTGGTACTGAGATATCTTCACTAGTCACTTGCCACCTCCACAGTTTCAGCTTGGCAAGGGCTTTTAGTTGTCAGCCTCACTTTCCAAGAGAGGAAAAGGTTTCTCAAGTATTCTGATTCACATAACGCCACCTTCTACTCAAACGTGAGAACTCAGACTCACAGTCATGAACGGATCCAACAATTACCTGGATGAGGTGGTGCTCCGGTGTGTACAGGTGGTTGAAAAGGGCATGGTATACGACCTGGGCCCTGTTATACTGAAGCAAATCAGCAGCTGGCTGCAATCAGACAAATCGCCCAATGAAAAGAAAGTTTCCTAAGGTTGGCAAAATGTTGAGTAATTTCTGAAATTGAATTATGGGCACATGGGATTTATTATACCATTCTCTCTACTTCTCTGTACACAGTTTAAAAAAAAGTTTCCTTGAGTAATAGCTTGGACATTTGGGTATAATCCCTTTCAGTTTCTGATTTTTTTTTTTTTTCTCCTTGAAGGTCAATTGTTAATTACTCAAGGTCGAATTATTCAGTTTGACAATGCCCCATGCCTTATGTGCATAATAATGGCCCATGTTTCTCATATGTATTACCTATGAGATACAACCTCTACCAGGTTGGCAGAGGAAAAATATAAAGAGAAAAAAACATAAATAAGTGAATTTAGTTACACAACAGCATGAATAGAAAGCCAGTTAATAAAAGATATTAACATAAGCAACAATAAAATAGTGATATCATGAATGAGAACGGCCCTGATGAGGCAGTTTGTCCCATCCATCCAGATGACAGAGAGCAGAGGCTGCTCACCACGTTAAGCACAATGTGATGGAGGCAGTGTACACCCAGGATTTTGTTCTCAGTTTGATAGTCATCTGAGATGAGCAATGATGGGGGAAGTATCCTTTCCAGATGCTGGTTCAGCCAGGGTCGAGTGACCTGTTGCAGAGTCCACGAGAAAACATGTTTGGTGGCAGGGTTATTCTTCCAGGTTTCCCTAAATGGAAATGTGAAACTACATTAAGTGACATGGTGTTAACTAGCAAAGAAAATTAACCAGTTGAAGCTTAACAGAGCACTTTCTTATCCTTGAAAAACAACACATCCCACATAAGATAACTCGATATTATAACATAGATTTTAAGATTTAGATCAAAATAATTCAAAGAACTTACACTAAATGCATTTAAGAATCACCCAGGGCTCTGTCTAAAGCTCATCCAATGAGAAGTAGCAATTTATAACCACAGCTATGTAAAGGATCTGTGGTGCTGGTAGTGGTGGTTACAGTGAGGACATGTTGAGGAAGGAGAGAGGAGTAAAGGAAATGCCTTCAGTATTATTATTATCAAGAGAGCAAATGAATCAATATTTGAAGAGCAATTTACAGCTTATAAAGTGAGTTTACACACATTACTCAATCTTCAAAATAACTGTGTAATAGGTAAAATTATCTTCATATTACAAATAATGAAACTGAGGTTCAGAGAGGCTGTCTGACCCGGTCCTCCTCAGAAGCAATAACAAGAAGCCCCAGACTGCCTCAAAACTGAGCCTTAAATTTTAACTCCAAGTTCCTGGTAAAATGACAGTTAAGTACACGTTTTTTTTCTAATCACTCCAGCGTTACAAATACTAACAAAGTAGCAAGTGGAAACTCACAGAAAATACTTTAGCTGACAGCAATCTAAAGGGCTTTCATTTTTACATCCCAAACATTGCTTCCGTATCTAATAACTATCCCTATCTAATAACTAGCGCTGAGTTTCAAGATCTCTAAGTTTAAATTCAAACCCTAAGTTTAAATCCTCCCCAAAATCCCATCCTCACCTAACTCAAGAAAGGTACGTCTAAATAAATGGGACAGAACTTCCAATTGCCAGGGCAGTCGAAATAAGGACTGGAAAGAGCACTAGAAAGTGGAGTCTGAAGCGCCGGGTTCTAATGTCGAATTTGCCATTATCTAGTTGTCACTTACAGCAAATCATAACCTTCTGGGCCTTAAGAGATCAGCTATTAGAACACCTTTATCTTACTCATAAAGAAACTAAGGCTCCTCTGAGCTCTCACATTCCAAAACAGTGGGCTGAAGCTCAAGCCGGTGGCCCTTTCGGCAGGGATACTCACTTATTCAAATCGGGTTTGAGAAGTCCCATTATCAGAGTAAATCTCCCTTTCTCATCCTCATTTTCTCCGTGGAGGAATCCCGCCACAGAAGCACACTCAGTAACTTGAAGCAGTAAGGCGAGCACCTGTCCAGCAACGTCCTGCGATCTTGGGCTGGTCCATGCTTGCTCCAAGCTGTGCGAGACGGCAAAAATATAGATGGGTCCCGCCAAGAGACGGAGGCATGCCTTCCGGGCAGGGCAAACCAAGGAATTCTCGGCAGCCCCAACTTTCCTCAATAGCTTAAGAAACAGTAACCCAACCGCTGCCGCTTTCTCGGCCACTTCAGAGTGAGCATCGCTTCCACCTCCCTGCTCCTTGGGTGGGGCTGCATACTTCTCCAGGGCTTTTGCCACCTGCCCCAGCATCTCGGGCATTCCGCGGAGCGATGTGCCACTCCCCCCAAACAGTTCATCACCCTCTGTGGCTTCTATCAGAGCACTGAGGTCCTGCAGAGCTGCATTTCTGGCCTTGCCACGTCGGGAATCCAGGCCGCTAAGATGGTGCAAAATCTGGGACAAGGCCTGTCCGAGGTCGGAGGAAGCCCGCTCTCCAGGCAAGGACGAGCCTTCCCGCGATGGGCACTCCCGACAGCCGTGAGGCTCCATTCCTCAGCCGGCGGCGGTGAGGGCTGGTCTCTCCCAGAGGAGGGGGATGGGGGCGGGCGGGGATGCGCGAAGGAAGGAAGGAAAAATAGGGAAGGAAAGCCGGAGGATGGAATCCTCTCAAAGAACAAAACTAAAACCAAACAAAACAGCGAGACGTCTTGGAGGAGGGAGGGCGAGTCTCACCAGCCTAAGAGTAAAGTGCGTGCAAGGGAACGCTTGCAAGAAAGAGTCCTCTTTGGGAGTAACGGAATCGCAGCCTCCCAACAGCGAAGCGAAGAAACTACTCTTGCCTTTTTGAGGACTCAAAAAAAAAAAAGAGTTCAAGAAATAAATCCCTAAAGCATGAAGGCACGACACGAACACGGTCACCGGTTCCCGCAGCCCTTCCCGCACAACGTGCCTAACAACACCCGAACCTCGCTAACGCCGTTGCCGCAAAGCATAAGGCTAGCTTCCGCCAATAGTGGCGGCAACGCTTCGTCATTTCACGACCTAGTGTCGTAAAGCCGTAGAGATCCAGGTTCAAAAAAGGTGGAGCTATGGAGAAAATTTGCATAGACAATAATCCGCTCGCTGATTTGTTTTGTGCTTTCACTTTTAAGGTAGAAACACAAGAGAAATCACGGAATATTGGAGATAGTCTTAAAAATGTACAGGATCTTCTTATACGTGAAGTCTGAATATATATGGACGACATCTGTCACCCTTTCTTAAAAGTCCGTGGGCCATCCCCAGGGTTCTGTGACAGCAACCTTATTGTGATCCTTTTGTAGTTCATGAGCGTGATGATTGGGTGTTCACGCGGCTGTGTGACATGTGCCACCCACAAACCTTGTTACGACGTGGGCACATTACCCATCTGACGTGAACTAGAAGGATCGTCATCATTATCATCGTCGTTTTTTTCAGTGTTTGTTTTAAGTTGGTTGTTGGTGTTTTTTTTGTTGCTGGTTTTGTGTTTTCCTGTTAGCTTTGTCTGTTGGTTTTTTTTAACGTTTAGGTTTTCCAGATTTCAGTGGGTTTTCTTTGGAGTTAACTTCTGTAAGTGTGTAGACGCAGGCATTTAAAGATCCACCTGTATTAAGCGTCGAATCGCTAACCCGCCTGTGGCCCCTTCGTCGCGGGGCTTCTTGGGAGGTGGTGGGCGCTCCGGGCTGGGGAGCCGCCTGGGGCCACGTGTTCCCGGGCAGCCGCGTGGGGTTGAGGTTGCGGCCCCGTTGCCCCAGCCCGTCTCCTGCGACGTCTGCACTGCTTGTCCCCCTCGCTGCGGGTTCCCTGAGGGTGGGGCTGGGTCAAACGACCTTGGGTTCCCCAGGGGCCGGTCACGGTGGCTGGCCACCTGTGGGACTGTGTCCGTGACTTCACATAGCTCCGACTGCGTCGTGGGAGCCCGGGAAGCACGCTCCCTTCGCGCCAAGGCGTGGGCAGGAGCGCAGAGCAACGCGCGTCCGGCGCGGGGAGGGTCGGAGAGCCGGCGTCGCGGGGAGGGACCCTCAGCCGGAAGCCCCGCGCCTCCTCGCCGCCGCCGCTCAGACCTGCGCTGCCCGGCGGGTGGGCTCAGCCCGACGGTGCGTTCAGCCGGTCGCCTGCTGGCCTGGGGATTTCTCCGGTCTCAGGGTCCCCAGGAGTCAAGAGAAAGCCCTGCGGGAATCTCCTGATCTTGGCGTGCGCGCGCGCATGTGTGTGCGTAAGGAGGGAGATGTCAGGAGTAGGGTCTCCTCCCAGGGGTGGTGGTTCACGGTGCAGGGAGACTTACAGCACTTCGTCCCATCTTCAAGATGTACCCTTTCAAATATCCTATCTGCGTATCCTACTGCGATTCCTTCCTTGCCCCCTCCCTCCCTGGTTCGCTGTGTGACCTTGGGCAAAAAAGTTCGGTAACCTCTCTGTGCCTTCCTTTCTTTAACGGTAAAATGTAGGTAATAATAGTTCCTAGCTAGGATTGCTATGAGAAATAAAGGAGTTAAATATATGTAAACTGCTTAGAGCTATCTGGTCAGTGGGAAGTTCTATACAGGTGTTAGCTCTTGTTGTTAATTCGTAGTTTCTGTATTAACTTACATTTCCTCTTTTCGGAGGAATTTTGTGGTTAGGACCCTTCCTCTCTGCCGGTTTCATTTGGTCTTCCCTTCCTTGACCAATTGGTGGCACTCATGATTTTCTAAGCAATTTCAAACATTGATAAAAACCGTTTTCTCCCAAGGATATTCTCCCATATTAAGGCCCGTGTGGGAGCATAGATGCCAATCCACAGACAGTTATTGTATCCCTCCTGTGTGTGAGCCTGTCTTTCCTGTTCCACGTGCCCCTTGTGCTAAGTGGATCCAAGATCTCTCTCCCTTATGAGGAAAGTACTTGTATTACCGAGGTCTCGCCCCCTTCCCTAGGAGTTTCCTGAGGCGGGAGGCCATGTCTTTATCCCCAGTGCCTGGCACACTTAAGTCATGTAATACATGTTTGTTGGGCCCACATGCCCATCCACAGAGGACTGGCTGAATAAACCAGGGTACACCACACAATGCAGTTCTGTGCAGCTGGACAAAGCAATGAAGACCATCTCTGTGGAGGCCGTGGAACTCCAGGATGTATTGTTAAGTGAAAAAAGCAAGGCTGAGACCGTGTATGTGTCGCCTTTCTTCTAAGAAAGATGTGTGCCTTTGCTTACATTTTAAAGCAGCAGCAATGGAAGTATAAATTACAAACTAATAAAAATGGCTACCCATAAAAAAGAACAGGATGAAAGAAAGGGGGATGGAATCTAGACTTCTTTTCATATACTGTGTTTTGTATTTTTGACTTTGGAGTCATATAACTGTTTTACATAATTATTCTTTTAAAGAAAATAACAAAGCATTTCCTCAGAGAAAAAAAAAGCCATTGATCGAAGTATATATTGAGTTACTGGCATAACCACAAGGAGCAATAAGAAACTGACTTTAAAACGCATTACTTTGACTGTATATCCTTAATGTGACGTATCCTAAGGACAAAAAGGAATGGTAAAGAAATCAAACTGCATTTAGTAATAATATGTGTTAGTAATAACACTGCTATTGTTATTTAGATGCTGTTGTACGTATTATGTATATAAAAGAGCAAATAACTATCTTAATGTTAGAAACCAGGGTCTTCAATGAAAGATAAAAGAGATACAAGTATGCAGTCAATGAAGTTAGGTCTATAATTGCAAATTTGAATTGGCAATGGTAGTATGAGTTCATGATTAATTTTTATTTTTTCTCCAAAATATATACATATATCCTAGCTGTGTTCACCAAAAAGGCCAAGAAGCAATGACAATCCAATGGCAATGAGCAACGCTAGTGTCCAAATTCATGATCTAAATGCCATTGCCCACTAAGAGGAACCAGGACTCCTTTAGGAAATGACTGATTTCAGAACTGGGGCAGAGATTGTGTAAGATGAGCCTGTGGCATTTTATTATGCCAGAAAGCAAGTGGCTTTCAAACACTACTGAGGTTATGTCAAAAGAACCCAAGAGCAAAGATGAAGGGACACCCTTTGGCCAAAGATGAAACGATTTCGACTTAAAAATGAATAATAACTAGTGGATTGAAAAGTGTCAAATACATGCAAATCCATGAATTCACGGTAATACTAAAAGAAAAAAATCCCTCATCATTCACTCTTGGATCACCTAAGGAAGCAACTCTTTATTTTGAAAACTGGTAAATAAGAGGAAAAAGTCAAGTATCTTCTCTGCTATATATTTCAGGGGACCCAAGTAGTTTGTTGGGGTGACAAATACAACAGAACTGGTAGAATTGGAAAGACACTATTCACAACTTCTAATGAAGTGCTGAGACCGGGCCACTATCATCCAGGGCTATTCAAATTATGGGGTGGAATGTTGATGGGAAATTTTATAATGGTTGGATGGAGCTAACAAAACCCAAACCCACTAATTTATCTTACCGCTAAAAGTGAGACAAGCAGATATCATGTGCTTCCTGACGCACAGCAATAGGAAGTACACACCATCTATGAAATATTCTTGCACAAAAATTGACCCCAAATCTAATCAAACTTCTAGATCTAACTACCAAATGGTGAGAAATATGGAGGACAAAGAAACAGATTAAAAGACACCAAGGCGGTATAGTCAGCCAAGCTAAGCATGTGGGAAATTCCACAAATTACCCAGTTTTTTCGATAAATAACTAGCATGAAAGAAATGGGGTGGCGAGAGAACTAATATAAAGTTTTTAACAACATCTCAGTCCAATGCAATGTTGGATCTTGTTTTCAGTAAACAAATGGTAAAAAGATATATTTAAGGTAATTGGGGAAATTTGAACATAGATCTATTATTAGGGTGTTCACATAATTTGGCATCTAAACAGGGCATGTTGAGTGTTAAAGGAGACCCTATTAATGATGCTGATACAAAGGTGTAAATTGGACTGCCTCAGGCAAACTTGATTACCCTGGTATTCACAACTTTGTAGAATTATTGTTAATTTGATAATGTTATTGTTTAGTTTTTTACATTACATTAGTGTTAGGTGTACAGCCTAATGATTCAATATATGTATATGTTGCGAAATGATCAACACGATGTCTAGTTAATATCCATCACCACACAGTTACAAATTTTTTTACTTGTGATGAGAAATTTTAAGATCTACTCTTGTAGCAACTTTCAAGTGTACAACATAGTATTATTAATTATAGTCACCATGCCGTACATTACATCCCCAGGGTGCATTTATTTTATACGTTTGTACTTTTTGACCACCTTCTCCCATTTCTCCCCTCCCTCTACTCCCTTCTCCCCCAGTCTGTGGCAACCACCAATTTGTCCTCTGTATCTCTGAGTGCTCTCTCTTTTTTTAATGTTTTTATGTTTTTTTTAATGTTTATATTTGTAAGCTATTAGTTAGAAAAGCAATTCTCAAACTTTTTAGCCTCAAAACTTTTTACACTCTTAAATATTATTGAGTCATACAAGGATAGCTAGAATCAAGAACACCGAAAGTAGCGAATTTTGGCAAAGATATGGAGAAACTGGAACACTCCTACTTTGGCGGCTGAAATGTGAAATGGTGCAGCTGCTGTGGAAAACAGTTTGACAGTTTCTCAAAAAGGTAAACATAGAGTAACACAGAGTTAAACATATGACCCAGCGATTCTATTCCTAGGTATATAGCCAAGAGAACTAAAAACACATTTCATACAAAAAGTTGGACACAAACGTTCATAGCAGCATTATTCATAATAGTCAAAAGTGAAACAACCTGAAAGCCCGTCAACTGATGAATGGATAAACAAAATGTGGTTGGTAGGTACAATAGAGTGTTGTTCAACCATAAAAAGGAATGAGATTCTGATATATGCTACAGTATGTGTGAACCTTAACAACATTATGCCAAATGAGATAGGTCAGACACAAAAGATTCCATTTATATGAAATGTCCAGAATAGCAAATCAGTGGAGTCTGAAAGGGCATAGCGAGAGAGGAGAAGTGGGAGTGACTGCGAACTGGTGTGGGGTTTCTTTTCCAGGTGATAAAAATGATTGGGAACGAGCTAGTGGTGATGGTTACCCAACTTGTAAATATACGAAAACCTGCTGAATTGTATACTTTAAAATGGTGAATCCTATGGTATGTAAATTAAATCTCAATTAAAAAACTAATTTAAAAAAGGATTGAGGACCCCAGAGAGCTTTTCCTTACATGAGATAGATATTTAGATAGATAGATTTTTTTCCATATTAGGTTTTAAAACTGACAGATTTTTAAAATATCCATTAAATTCTTTTAAACATAGTGACAATAAACTCATTGCACATTAACTAAAAACTTATTTTTCTTTGTAAAGGTTTTATTTTCCCTTTTTTTC